TATTTTGGACTTCCATAAGTAAGTAATAAGTATTTATATCTAACTAACGGCCGGTTTCTGAATTGAGAAAAGTACAAAATTTCAACTGGTTACTTTCAGTTACTTAAGTTTTTTACTTTTCAGAAGGCAAACGGTCAGTTGCACAAACATCCATTACGGTTTTTAAGCCCTAGTAAATGTCAAATATATGTAATGTCGCCTTATATTAATGACAATTTTAATAGAGGTTTGTGCAACTGGCTGTAAAGTCCTAGTTTTCATCAAACTGCTATCAACTTATCATTAAAAAAAAATTAAAATCAGAAACGAAAACCTGTTTAAGTGACGTTTTAGTACAGTTTAAGACGTGCTTAACTTTAAATACGCGGTTCAGAAACCGGGTGTATGTCATATTGGAGATTGGCTAACACTCGCAACAAGCATTTGAATTTCAAAAAGTTATATACTATTATTAATAGCTATTGACAGTTCGGGTATACTCGCTTTAGGTTGCCTTTACTACTAGTTCCTCTAGCCTCTAGGTACTTCTCTCGATTATAGATACGAGTGTTAGATTTGCTAGTCATTACATAGGAATAATAATTAAAGTGTTTCACGGCTACGAGTATCGCTCCTTGCCTGTGGGTATATCAATTCCAAATATGATGTGTGCCACTGTTTTAAAGAAAATGTCGTAGGGAATGTTTATCACTCATGCGAAATTGAGTAGGTGGGCTAAATGGGAAATTTCAAAATTTATCCTAAGTATGCTATTTATGGAAGTAACTACTTAATTTTAAAAGTTACAATCGCTTTTGGAACAAATGATGATTTGAATGATCAAGAAATATGTTTCTGTTTTTATTATTATGATAAAAAGATTGCAGATATATTGCGAAGTTATAAACTACATCCTATAATATTAATATATAACCATGGGATTGTTTGTCAAAAGACCTTGCATTGAGAAGAATTAACAAGTGTCTCCGCAATAGCTGTTTTCCACCTTTTATTATATGTTACAGCGATGTATGACGAGGTCGCTTGACGTAGGTTTCAGGAAACAATGTCATAGCTTAACGTTGTATATACGATACGATAAGTAGAAAATCGTTTATTGAGTATATTTGGTATATGCAGTTGTATATTATTTATTATTATTTTTGTTTAAAGTGATATTGGTTTTATAGAAGCATACCTACTCAAAAGAGTATTATCTATCCGCTGCGAAACTTTTGAAATAATTTTAAATATTCTTTTAACTACCGGAAACTACATCTTAAGCGGATGACATAGTCTATAATTGTTATCATTAACGCGGGTGAAGTTGACCGAAACCAACAAGTATTTTAATAAGGAATAGAATTTGCTTTTCATGACTATGTGATGAGTATGTAATCACAATTATCTTGATGAGGATATCACATCATGATAATTACGGTCATTGTTATCTGGAAAATTGTCACTAACGTTGACCAGTCACCAATGTTACTAATTTCATAAGTATATATATATAATAACAACATAAATCTTATAAGGAGTAAAATAAAGTTAGAGATTTATTGACGCATTTGCTGTGTAATCAATAATAATATAATTTATTTCTGCATTCATATGATGTTACTAACAATTAGTCATTACTTCTTATTTTAGTCTTGCATAAAAATGCTTTCAAATATCATTTTACTTAATAACTAGCTTTCCGCCAGCGGCTTCGCCCGCGTGGACCGCTGGTTCCTTACTCATAGATCTAAACTTCTCCCCCGCACGCGCACCCCCGCTTTGGTGACGCCCACTTCGAACCGGCCGTGCAGCAGAAATCGTAATATTTTAATTTCGCCATAACTTCAAAACCAAACGTCCAATTTTAATCATTCACAGACCAAATATTATCTACATAAACTGTACTTAGTGATGAATAATTTATTTTGATAAGGATTGAATGCGTGCTGCAAATAACGTTAAATAGGATGTAAAAACCTTAGTAAAAACTGTCAATTTTATGTATGTACATCAACGACATAGTAAAATTCTCAAGTTTTGTTCATAGCAACACATATCGCGATTCAATTCTATTTATATAAATACCAAAAAAGGTAGGTATGTATGTCACGTGCTTATAAAAATCACATTCAACAATTCACTGTCAATTGGGGCAGGTTTCGCAATACTTTTAGAAATTTCTATTATTATATTTTTTTGTCAACATCGGCTTTGACCTTAGATACAGATATTCCGTTGTTTTCATTTCAAATGTTGGAGACCTTGCGTACGCATTTTTTTTTTTTGTTAAAAAAGTGTTTAAAGCTGTAAAATATGCACTTATGTCACGTGACCACATTAAAACTTAAATTACTGTCAAATTATGAGTGCTATGTTAAATTGATATTAAGTTTCGGCATAGTAACAGAAACAAAGATGTATACAGTTGCGGTCGGTTATCTTATCTGATTTATGTTTACGAGGCCACCTTGGTGCGCCCGCGCCGTTAATCACTCATCACATCTCTCCTCGTAGACACTATAATGACTGGTGAGGATTACACTAAGCTTATGATCTCGGGTGTTGTGTGACGTCGCCCGCCGTCGATGATACTTACCTACACTATTAGTTTTACAAGGTGCTAGGCAGATATTTTTTCGTGAATTTCCAAATTACTACGTTAAAACTAGAACTTTTGAATACAAAAATTAATCACTTGCTTAATAAAACGGTCGTATAGTATTTTATGATTTGCATCAATACGAATACATAGGTATAAAAAAGAACTCAAAAATTGAGGCTAAATAGCATATAAAACATTTTACATTGACTTATGAACGGTTTTGATAAAACGCGAGTCACATTTGAAGGTACTTATATACCTTACTTTGATAAAACTAATATATAATTTTAATAAAACTTTTTAACATAATCATCTTGCAATACAGAAAATAATAAACAATTTCAGTGAGATTGGAAGTAAAACTGGAATTTAAAATTACATTTTAAAAGGAAGTAAGACAGGAAACTGACACCTGCTTAGCACTTATCTAATCACTTATTTGCACTGTGAACCACCTTGATAATTTTTGAAGGTCTGTGACTAATTAACGGCAACTACAGGAATTATCGTAATAAAAACGGCACAAAGACAAAGGGAAAACAAGACTGGCAACACACTGACCGGTGAATGCCAATTTATTAAAAAAAAACTGTTTAAAACAAGCCTTTTTTAGACCAGAGCTCTTGTTGCGTTATTTAAAGCTTTTAATTATAAAGTTTACATGATCTGCTTCCAGTTCCATCACCAGACCATGTATATTATCGCATACAAAAGTCTTGTCAAATCAATCGAGCTCGAACTCTATTGGATCGGTCAATTGCAAACCGGAAAGAAGAGTTTGAAAGATTTATTTTATATTTAACTACCGCGGCCAGTTATTTTAAAGCTTGTAAAATAGAGAATTATTGTAGTATTGCGCAAAATGGGGAATCATTGTAACATTTATCGCACTGCGGCGAAGTCACCGGTAAATGATAAACTATGAATCACTTTTTACAAATATACAGTTAATGACTGTTTATTGAATAGATATTCTTTTGTTCAATCAATCAATTACACACACCTTTTTTGTCAAGTATCTTAATTCAATCCTAAGGTCGTAATAAACCATGGAAAACTTATAATATTTTTATGCATTCAGTGTCATAAAATTACATCTGAACATAAAATTTTCAAATTTCGCGCGTCTTGGACGAAAAGCTGGACGCCATGTTGTTCTGTAGTTGTGACGTCACTTAGTTTTGTAAACAAACGCGTTGCTATTGGTTACTTAAATTTGAAAGTATATTCTATCATGTTCGAAAACATAATTGTAAGAAAATTGTACTTACATAAATCTTTTAACATTCCGTAACACTGCGAATTTGCAGTAAAAAGTTTTCCAACGATAAGTGTTTATTATTGTTTTTGTGCGATCTTCCTTTACGAAACCTTTTTCCATGGTATTATTAATTAATAAAAATTACTTTTTCTTTATTTTGTCATTAAAATATTAAAAATAACCTCTAAACGTATTTATTTTTCTTGAAATCTATTTTTATTGGTAGTGTACAAACCGAATGACGTCATATCACGGCAGCTACTGATTTGCGTAATAAAAACACTAAAGATTTGAAAACTTTGATTTGAATCTTTAAAATTAATTCTTTTTTTTTTACTGAAACTAACATTTTTAGACTGCTTATTGTCTAAGCTATCTATCTGAATTGTATATTTTTAGTTTTTTCTCGCAATGACACTTTGTCAATATTTGATGTTGGTGATTATTTGTTTTCAAAACTAATGGATATTGGATATTAAAAGCTACCACGGACTTAACCATATTTATTTTAACGCCTCTGAACTGATTTGACCTTGCGATAGTATGAAGTTAATGGCCACGGATTGGCGTGTTTTATTCGTAATTCATTAATTTAACATTCAACAATTTTAAGGTAACTAAGAACGCTTAATAAGGATGTTTTTTTTTTAGCTGTTGTTATTTATTTTAATTAACAAGCTCACAAATGAATGTTCTTAAGCCACTATAACCGATATTATAAATCTGATAGGCACTAAGATCATGCGTGATCCGATATTTAGGTGAGTTCAATTGGTTGAGCTTTTCAATAGTATTATGAACTCTGTTAATTATTTAAAAATAACCCCTTTTGTTTTCCGGCGCTTATATCTCATATCTACGTAGCATTTTCCCAATTGGCACTGAGTCTCATGACTACTTAACATTTTGGCAATTGGCACTTTTGTATTTTATCTACGTAGCATCTTGGCTATAGTTAGAAATATGTTTCATATCAACGTATCATCTTAGGAATTTGTCAATCGGTAATTATGTCTCATATCTGCGTGATATTTGTCGTTATTTAATCTTGTGTATTATTGTTACAGAGTAGTAGCGGTCTAGATCAGTGGTCAACCGTCACCCAACGCCAGCCGAAGGTTTCATCCCGATGGGTTGAGAACGCCGACGTTACGTGTTTGTGGGCACACCACCAACGCTGTAAGTTCATTGATACCTAATATTTAAATTAAGAACACTTGCAGTGTTATTCTGTAAAAAATCTGTATAGAACTTGACGTCAGGTATGCGCTGTCACAGCATAGAGATTGAATTAAATAAAATATTTGAAATAGATTATAGTGGACGTTGAAGTTGAGGCTGATTTTATTACAGAATAGCAAACCTGAAATATAATTGTATTAAAAACTTTTTCGATGGACTAACTTTTTTCGGTGACTGATTAGATGATATACTTAGATAGATAGATACTCCTTGATTATTTATGTAAAAATATATTTTAACGAAGCTATTTTTGATTTATTGTTTGTAGTAGACAATCGATAAAGATTTTGATATACGCTTATCTACGCATATCTTGTAGAGGCATTGACTCTATAACCCTCGAAGGATATTTGATCATCGTGTATTACAATCTAAAGTTAAAAATAACTTACGTTTATTTAGCTAACATTTGCATTATCAGCGTCATAAGACTTCAAGTAAATTACTTTGAACGAACTTTGAAAAGGAAGTTACAATTTCATATTTATATTGGCGTTTATATTACCTAGTATAGAATAAACTTTGTTTCAAGTGTTTTTTTACTCAAACTTGATTTATTGAATGACAGTCACAAAGGATTTTTTAATGGGATAAATATAATAAATTCTGTAACGTCGAGTTCGAAGCTGACTTTAACAGAATATGCCCGAACGAGTATATCTATCATTGCAGATCTAAGCCTGAATATATGTTTAGGTTATGAATTGATTCTGTTAGAAATAGATACAACGTTAGCAGCATTGAACTTGAAATCGCGTCTTTATTCGTGGCAATATCTCTTCTGAATAAAGATTCAATCCGTCTTACCGTTTCAACGGAATTTAGTAAAGAAACATTTCTACTTTATCTTTTAACATCTTTGCAATAGTTAGGTTATCAATCGGTACGTCGCATTTTAGTATTTATCACGTTGCGCACGACACTATTACGTGTCGTCCACATGTATAATTTCATTATAATGTTTCATACATGATTTATCTGTTAACATGCATGAGGAAACAATAAGCATATCAATCACATCTGAAGCCTTTACTCAATTTGTGCGTAGAAAATTACCTTGTTATTATATGAAGTAGTTACCTATAGATGTTGTGTAGTATGTTATTGATTATGATAATTTGAATCATCACGTCTATTTGCTTAGTCACCAATACTTGTTGAGATATTTTTTTTTATATACTTGTTGTATGTCGTTAAAAATTGTTGAGTAGTTTTATTGCGTGATTATCTGAAAGATGATTTATAATTCATTTATCGATTTCTAAAACAAATTCAGGTCGTTACATTTCCACAGAAAAAAATATCTTTTCGTGAATAACTATAATAGCATGTCGCAATATTAACATTCCTAAAATAAAGATTTAGCCATAATGTGAAATATAAACGATGACTCGAGATAAGCAATGATATGTAACATTCCTTATGTACCTACATACCTAATTCTTATAGGTACCCATATCTATTAGTTGCTGTCCTAAATAGCTCTGATTAAGGCAATTTAAACGGAGCGCCATTGATCATTTTTGTCTAAGAATATTTCGTTCATAGTTAAAAGTCATATGTTTTTAACTGCCTTCCATTGGGTAACCTCTGGCACATATCAATTTAAGCTGAATTTAATGAAATGTTTATACATCAACCTATTTATATTTGATGAGAAAATAAATATATGTTATTAAAATTAAGTTGAAGGAAAGCAGATGTAAAGTAAAGTATATGTCTTTCTGTTTTTATAGGAACCAACTTTGTATTTGTTTTCACAAAAAAATCGTTTTCATCCTAACTTGTTTCACTCATATCGTCGAATTAAAAAAAAAAAGAAGAATCATTCCGAATAAATACTTTCCCTAATTTATAAATATAGGTTTTATCTACTAAATTGTACATTTAAACAAGTCTCGGTGGATTTATAAATACATTTACATATTTTTATTTATTTTCGCATCAGACAGACGTTTATATTTACATTAATAATAAAATTATAATCAATATGGTAGAAGAGCTACAGTGCCTTTGAAATTTGATTAGAGAAATAACGTTCAGTTCTATATTTGCAAACGCGATCTGATACATAATTACATTTAATAAAATGAAACTACCTACTACATTAAAGCTACCAGCTTGCCGGAGTGGATTATCATTGAACATAAATGGATTAATGTGAATTCATATAACATTTTGAATTGTTGCTCATGTTAATACGATACAAAACAGGTAATGATAACACAAAAAATTGAGCTAAAACAATTTAAGATTCTTTGTTGATTTAAAGATGATTAAGGAATTAAGAGCAATTTAAAAAGACGAAGTTTGACGAGGGTACTACAGAAGAGAAAATAAAATCACTGATATATGAAAAAAAAACATATGAATAAAAAGAACTATCAAAATATAGAGAAATATAAAAAGAGGTGGCCCAACTACCGGTCCTAAACAGATATTATCAAGTTCTAAATTTAAAAATCCCTATATGTCTGAGGGAATGATAGAGCAAAAAAATTATAATAAGAAAGGAAAGGAATATACTAAAAAAAATATCGAATAAGTGATTATGGTAGCAGCTGCTATATTTTTTACTTGTGAACAGTGTGCCCTAACCAAGGCCGTCGACCCCTGGCGGAGTTCATTCATGCACTTCGCACACACATGTCGCGTGTTATATTCATACAATTACGTATCTGCACATTCGTGTCTATATAGACTCAATTGCGACATTCGTATGCGTATCGTTCATATAAAGTTTTAAAATTCTAATTGAATTCTGAAGCACTATGATTAGTTTCTAAGCTGTTAAGAAGTTGTGTAACTCGATAAACTACGTCATCGTTTCCTAAATTTACGGCTTGTTACGATGTTTCGAGAAGAATCGACTAATAGTTTTAAAAGGGCTGCGTTATTGTTTCGTTTTATATCATAGATAGAAGTAAAGGTAGAGACCGCCAATAGCGATAAGACTGCCAATTATCCATGTATTAAGTTATATTCGTGTGGTACTTACAATAAAGAGTTATTATAATTATGTCGCTAATCCTGTTATATTCTGAAATGCGTGATTTCGATAGAGGGGTTTCGTTTCGCCCCACCAATTAACGAAACCCCGATGTGCAAATACGCAAATTATATAACCACAAAAGCTGACTATCATAGAGTATCATATACATACCAGACTGTAACTACATGATTGTTTAAACAGACTAATAAAAAAAAATAACAAGATTCTATTGTTCTGTTTTTTCTACTTGGGCATGTTGTGTCATAACAATTTTGTTCTCAAGGGATTCTAGATAACGCTCAAAATTTTCCATCATGAAATCATATTCCATCCATGAAACAGTAACATTTTTAAATAAAATATTTAAAACTGTAGAATTAAATACTTATAATAGTATTTTCCAAGGCGATTACATCAGTTCGTTCATATATTTCTAGTGAAGATTCTTATTTTTACCAGAATTCGTTGAAAACATGTGACTATAATGAATATCAATTACGTTCATTGTTTCAAATGAATTAAATTAATTGTAACGACAGGCGAAAAATTATTGTAAAAATGACTGCAATCAGTTGTTTTTTATGTAAATTACTAGTCGTATGAACTATTTGTTGTACACGCGTAAGAAAAATTACTTACTCAATATAACAATTGCCAACGTAATCTATAATTTTGAAGATTTAACATTATCTGTTTACCTGTAGCTTTACGTCTACCTGTTATTATATTAGTCAACGTTTTAGTTATTTTATGCATACACATTTATCGTACTTAAATCTGAGCCTTAATACAAGTGAGAGAAAACATAAATACCCATCGATCATAGTAGTTCCCCCGTTTCGATTTTGAAGTCGAATAAAACCCCGTCAATGTTAATATTGCATGTTTTTAAATTAAATACTCTCAAAATATTACGTTTATTGTTAAAGTTCTCAATCCTATACAAAGTGAACAAACATATTTACCAATTTTTCATATATTAAAAGGTATAATCATGAGAAGCAATAAATAATAAGAAAACAACACTATCTGTACAAAATGCGTACGAGAGCTACAGGGAATTAAGATTTTTAGCAACTTTCAGACTTGATTTTACACGCTAGTTGTTTTTTTATTCTGTTCTTAAATATAAAGCTACAAAAAGATTGTCATGTGATATCAATGCCAATGTTTTAAGAACCACTTAGACCGCTGACTATTTATCTGCTGACAATATGGTTGGACTTTCGACCAGTACTAAAAGACTCAAATATGCACATTTTAAAACATTTTCATATAGATTAAATAAATCTCTTTACCTTTTAATTCAAAGTTAATAAATAAAAATTCATTGGCCGATTAAAATTTTGTAACCCGTGGTATCTCTAATTTTCTTTGTTTGTATTTTAAAGCTCTAGCGGTAAGATTTTTAATATATTTTTAGAACGAGCCAGTGAACGGGAATTCAAGTTCTTTTCCAGAACACGAGTATGAAATCTGGTATGGTTGATGGAGTTTATTCGTAACGACTACATGCCTTATGTGATCGTCAATTAAAAACGATAGATAGATAAAAAGTTTATTCCTCAGCAACATACAATTACATCACTTAAAAGAAATAAACAAAGAACAATATCATATAAAAGAAACAAAGAAGAACAAGAAGCAGAAATTACCTGTGTGTAGCATTATAGATATTTGTTATTTTTATAAGAAATCATATTAATTTTAAAATTTTAAACAAGTTATTAATAAATTACTAAGATTTCAGTTTAAATTATTAGTATAAATTATATCAAGTACAATAATACAATGAAAATTGTGCACAATTGATTTGTTAATGTTCTTAAATGTTTAATACCATTGACATATCTGTCTTATATAACATAAAAAATCCATCCAAGTTTTTGAGGACCGGCGGTCGATCCTTATTTTATATTCTCTATATTTTTTATACTTTCAATAT